TTTTTAACATTGGAAAGTATAGATCGAGCAGGGGCGGTGGAACATCTCAAAATTGGGTGAGGCTCAAATCTTTCAAGCCGACACGCTCCACCATTTACGGTACTTGTTAAAGTAAGGCCAGGTCTAACACTAATTGTCCGAACTTTGATTGAAAGTAAAAATATCGACAGTAATATATCTAAAGGAATAATGTCAAATATAAAAATATCGAAACTGAGATGAAGAGTTCTAGATTTCGCGTTGAAAAAAAATTGAAAAACCAAGCAGCTAAATTCGAATCAAATATTTATTTGCTGAAGAATAAAAGAATGAAAAATAGGTGAGAATATTTCGGAATATCAGTTTATTGGCCTTTTTTTGCTACAAGTGAAGAAAAATCATGGAGGGCATCAGATGTCGCAATGAGATAATTATTATATCGACTATATAATGTATTTGTCCACTCTGTAATGCTGTGCACTGTAAATAAAATTCAATTTTTTTAATAAGTAGATGACATCACTTTTGAATATTGATTATCAATTTCAATTAATTCATCTTCAACAGCACATTCAATTGATATAATTATTCGACCTAAAACAAAATTTTCTGATTTCATACATCAACAAATTGTTGTATTCGAATTTGATTCTCAGGATCAATAAGAACATTCAAAATGAGATTCGATTAGCAATTTTTTGATGTTCGGTTAAATGTTATAAAAAAAAACTTCATCGAGATACTTAACATCGATCTGAAGCTGTAAGACGATAATCTCTGATGTATTCTATAAAATTGTGATTCGTGTTAACAACATTTAAATCAATCAAATTTATTTATTTTTCTTTAATACATCATTTTTACAAGTTATTCCATATACGAGACCATGCAAATTTTATTTTATTTACATTTGGAAAATATTTTTTATCATTTTCAGGATTTTTTAATCGACCGAAAATATACAAACCATTGAGTTTAGCACAATTGGCTTTCATTTCATTTCTTGTAAAATTATGTGTGGCTTTTCTCAATGGAGAAGATTTGACAAGAAGATATATTGAATTTGTAAAAGATGATTTCGTTTCATCTAAAAATTGTTCAACATAATCGAGATGAACATTAAGTAGATCTAATTCAGTAAGATGATGATATTCGATAATTGAACAATGTTTATTATTATCATCGTTTGATTTTTCATGTTGTTTGTATATTTGTGGTTTGAAATTTGATACAGTTAATTTTTTCATAAATGGAAAGGATTGAGAAATTCGAAGAAAAAATTCATGTTCAAAAGGATATTCATCAAATAAAGATACTTCTTGAACACATTTAAATAATCCACCAGAAAAATTATTCGTTATATTATGATAATATTTCATTCTATATGGATATGAATATATTAGACATTAACCAGTTTGTTTTTTTGGAAAATAATCAACACAAGATATTATTTTATTATCAATGAAATTTGTAAATGTATTTTGAATTTGTTCATTTGTCAATAAATATTTATTATCAATATCATAAATAATTGATCGAATATTAAATGTAAATTCATTTAACTGAGGTATATGATCGAGAATATATTTCTTCAAATTATTTCCATCAATAAATTGTTCGTAAGGATTAACAACAATGTATAAGGAAAGTTTTTTCAAGTTTATCATTCGATGTAAAAGTGGTAAAACCGATCCATTATAATGACATAAACCTGAATTACATGTTAGTGAAAAATATCTTAGATTCGGCAATTTTCCCTATTAAAAATAAATCCATACATAATAAAAAAAACTAATAGAAATTTCTTCATTGCAAAAGAATGATATGAAATTATTTGATTCTGATAAAGTAACTTACTTTATTATTATTAATCGTCGTTTTTTCAAATACAATCCAATCAATTGTCACAATTAACGTTTGAAGTTGATTGAAACGACCATCGAGTAAATAAAGACAAGCACTGAATGATAATACACAGATATGTAATTCAATTAGAGTTGAAGAGAAAAAAGTTGGAAGATAATTTTCGAATGATAAATGATAAATACAGAATTGTGAAGATGTATACAATTTCAAATAACGTATATTTATAAATATATTTAATATATATGTAAATATATTTATTCGTTCTTCGTCCGTCATGTATTTTTTATCACTATTAGCAAATGTAATAACCAATCTTGTTATTTGCTTGAATATGGAATTTAAACGATTTTCCTCTAAATATAAATATATAATATCTATGAGAAAAATCACGTTTATGATCAATTTAATGAATAATTCTTTTATTTTTATTTAGATCTATAATATGTGAGTATTCTTTCTTTGTATCATTTCATCAATCATTCCACATGATTGATGAACAATTGTATGTCAACATGTTTCTTCTCTGTATCAATTATGTTTTATTTTTGAAGATAATATTCGAAAATGTCAGTATGAGAACAAGAAAATTTTTATTCAATTTTCTTAGTTAAACGTATATTTATATTACTTCATAGAGCAACATTATTTTCTTTATATTCTTATTTTTCATGGTTTATGTCACAATATATCTTTCAGTTACTTTATTCATCTATTAAATATGAATAAAATAAAAATCTAATTTGAATTAAATCTCTAAAGATGTAAATAATCATTATTGAAACAATAAATAGTGACTATTTATATATTTATATGTCAATGATTATAACAACTGAAGTTAAATATCTTACCAATAAACAAACGTTGTGCTACTTCTTCATTAATATTGAAAATACCAAGTCCATTTAAATTAGGATATTTAGCAGCAAGAAGGATACGTTCCATAGATAATGATTCGATATCAAGCCATTTGATATTATGTTTAATTTGAGGTATTATTTCTATACAAAATTTATCAAGTATTGTATCTGATAATGAATATATAATATGATTAAATGAACATTTTAATAATGTTAAGTGATTAGTAAAAGTTGAATCACGTACAATTTTATTAAATCGTGTATTAACATTCATTAAAAATTGAAGTATTTCAATATTATTTAATCTTTTAAATATCATAATAAGTAACTCATCAGGTAAATCGGTTATCTTAGTATATGTATGTTGCATGCCCAGGTCCAAAAATCCGACGACGGATCCTATCGGACCCGAAAACCGACAAAAATCCGATCGGAATCCGGGTTACAGAATTCCGATCGGATCCGACAATCGGATACTCATACGTTTCCGATAATTTCCGATTGTCGAAATCCCCATTTATTCCGACGGTCGGATACCGATCGGATTTCTATAGGATTATATCAATCTTTCAACCGAGGTCCAAAAAATCCGACAAAAATACGATCGGAATCCGGCCTGCAGAATTTCGATCGGATCCGACAATCGCATACTCATACGCTTCCGATAACTTCCGATTGTTGAAATCCCCATTTATTCCGACGGTCGAATACCGATCGGATTTCTATAGGATCCCATCAATCTTTGAATCTGTGGTCGATTTTATTTATTATGATAATGTTTGGAATCTAAATTTTACCTTATGTGAGCCGGAAAGTTTCATGATTTATAGCCACTGAAACGTAGTGTGTTTAATATAGGTTTTGGATTAAGGTGCAGCAGAATAGTTATTTTTTCTAGTATATAATGCCTTGATCAAGGAACTTATAAAATGCGGCTACCCGCGAGAAAGCTTGTTGACCTGATAACAACAAACTGTCCGCTTTCAACATGAGCACACAGGTTTCTATGAAGTACGAACTAAAAGAAGTGCTGAAGTACAGAAGTAGTAAGTTCGATTCTATGTTTCTGCCCAATTGACCAAAATATACACTAAAACAACATGTCGTTATCCGTTGTGACAAAAATCGTTTCAAACGTAGAATCTTTTCAGTATATTCATAAATTCATAAAACAGAAAATTTTTAGTTTCGAAACTGTTTACAAAGGTCTGAATATGACATTGAATTCAGTTAAATTATTTCATTTCTCGAAATGGCAACAAATGTATACCTAGATATCTCCATTCGAGCTTAGCACTGATATAAGTTACTATCCTATTGGATCACATCGGATTTTCAAAATTCAGTTCTGGAAATGAGCAAATATGCCTACCTTCATATCTCGCTTGGAGCTTATCATTAATATAAGTTTCTACCAATTGGATCCGATGGGGATTTTGAAAACTGAGTTCTGGAAATGGCAAAAATGTACATCTACGTATCTCCATTCGAGCTTACCACTGCTATAAGCTTCTATCCTATAGAATCCGATCGGATTTTGAAAATTGAGTTTTCGAAATGCCGAAAAATCCAAACTTCCATATCACCATTGGACTTTATCTTTGATATAGGTTTCTACCCTATAGGATCCGATCGGACTTTGAAAATTCAGATCTGGAAATGGCCAAAAAGGCGTACCTATATATTTCAATTGGAGCTTAGCATTAATATAAGTTTCTACCCTATAGGATCCGATCAGATTTTGAAAATTAAGTTCTCGAAGTGATCAAAAAGCCATACCTACATATAACTATTAAAGCTAAGCATTCATACAAGTATCTATCCTATAGGATCCTATCGGATTTTGAAAATTGAGTCCTGGAAGTGATGAAAAAGGCATATCCACACATCTCCATTGGAGCTTAGCATTGATATAAGCTTCTATCCTATAGGATCCGATCGGATTTTGAAAATTGAATCCTGGAAGTGATGAAAAAGGCATACCCATATATTTCCATTGGAGCTTACCATTCATATAAGCTTGTATCCTATAGTATCCGCTCGGATTTTGAAAATTAAATCTGGAAATGGTCAAAAGGCATACCTACATATAACTATTAAAGCTAAGCATTCATATAAGTATGTATCTTATAGGATCCGATTGGATTTTGAAAATTCAGTTTTGGAAATGGCCAAAAAGGCGTACCTATATATTTCAATTGAAGCTTAGCATTAATGTAAGCTTCTATCCTATAGGATCCGACCGGATTCTGAAAATTGACTTCTGGAAAAGCCAAAAAGGCATACCTATATATCTGTATTTCAGCTTACCATTCATATTAGTTTCTATCCTGTAGGATCCGACCGGATTTTGAAAAGTGAATTCTGGAAATGGTCCAAAAGCCATACCTACATACTTCTCTTCAAGGTTAGCATTGATATAAGTTTCTATCCTATAGGATCCGATCG